GATCTCAAATGAATACAAAGACTCTATTTTACATACATTTTTTCAGTTTGATATTTCTTTTTAGCATGTCCCTCCAGGCACTCACTAAACAAGGTATTTAAGGGGGAACTAAAGTGAGAAAGAAACAATCATTCACAGCCTCCTGGCAGAAACCCTCCCTGGAAGCAGGAGAGCAGCGCTTACTTTTCAATGCTTAGAGAAGGACCTACACTTTGCATCCAGAGAGCCACACAGCAGAAGTGTTTTTTCTTAGGTTTTGCTTGTGTGCCCCAGATAGAATCTCTTTAAGCCACACATTAGGTCATTAAATATGAAATGTATGATTTCGAATCAGAAGCGTAGTTTATTATATCTTAAACAAGAAGCAGTGCAATTAACCAAAGTATGTGCCTAAACTGTGGACAAAGTTTTGCCATCTTAATGGTAGCTTGTTTATGCCAGCAGCAAAGAAGCCCGGAGAGTGTGTGGTGATGAAATCTTGACAGCTGTTTGCAACACCTTGTTGAGAATTGAATATTCTTCCTTGCAAAAAGTGGCCCAAAACCTGGAAGAAGTGGTAGTCAGGTGCAAAGTCTGGTGAATATGGTGGATGATAGAGTTTCCAGGTCCAGCGTCTGTAGTCTGAGTAGTGTTATTTGTGTGTGATATGTGGTTGAGTGTTGTCTTGCAAGAGGACTGGCCTGTCTCTATTGACCAATCTCAGCTGCTTAATCCAAGCATATTCATCATTTCGTCCAAGTGATTGCAATAGACACCACTGTAATGGATTGAGGAGGTTTTATGAAGCTATAGTGGAGAATAACAGCACTGGGCCAATAAACACACAACAGTAGCTTTTTCTTTTTGGTAAATATTCAGTTTTGGACTGTGTTTTGGCACTTCATCTTTATTCAGCCATCATGCTGAACACCTGCGATTGTCAAAAAGAATCCATTTGTCATCACGATACAGTGTAGAAATGGTTCATCTTTGTGTTGTGACAGCAAAGAAAGGCTAGCTTCGAGATGATTTCTCTTCTGACGCTTGTTTAATTCATGAAGAACCCATCTATCCAGCTTGCTTACTTGATGATTTCTTTCAAATGATCCAATATTGTTGGAATAGTAACACCAAACCTTGCTGCTAATTCACAGGTAGGTTGAGATGGATTCACTTCCACTAGTTTTCAGCTCATCATTATCCACTTTGGTTGTAGGTCGCCCACATGGCTCATTTTCCAAGATTAAAATCACCAGAACAAAACTTCTCAAACCATTGGTGTACTGTGTGTGCGTTCATTAGCCACATCCTTCCCAAACACTTCGTTGAAATTTCTGGCTGTTTGTGCTGCATTGGTTCCACCATGGAACTCATATTCAAAAATAACAAAATTTCGACTTATTCATGGTTTCATAAAAATTGCTCTAAAAAATGTGAAAGATCATCACAAGCCAAAATATTCATTTGACAGACTGTAGATGTACCTTCACAATAAAAATAAAACAAGAAGTGTCAAAGTGAAATGTCAGTGATATTGACTGTCAAACTTATACTTAAGGATATTGGACATTACATACTTAATAACCTAATACTATTGATTTTATTACACTACTCTCTTCCCAAGCAATATGTATTACCACCAAATTTAATGATTTCTCTTAGTGATGTTTCAGTTTTGCCTGATAAAGTATAAATCATATATCCAAATCTGTCAGTTCATCCAAATTTGTCAGTTCATCTCTGCCATCTGACCAAGATGTTAAGATCATTCTCTCTCTGCCCCTAAATATTACAGAAGAAAAAAAATGTTAGCCTAGACATATCAAACACACACCTGTAAAAAGAACAATGGCCAGGTTTAGTGCTATTCAGAGAGACTCCTGCGTGATACTTCTCAGCTTGTGCTGGAGAATCTTGAGTTTTGTGTACCAGGTCATAGCATTCAATAAAGTGGGACGTGTCTTCAGACTGACAAGTAAGGTTTGTTGATGTCTCCCTGTCCTCTGATCAGTTAGCATGTCATCTCATGAAGAATTAGAAAGGGCCCCAAAGTCTTTGCATCTACCAGCAAATGCATTCCTTCAAATTATTCTTTCCTTGATGTGATTCAAGAAAAACAAAACATAAGGAACAGGCACATGTATTTATGTGCAACTTTGGTGATGGTATTATAAATGAGCTTCTCTCTGTTTCAGTCCACAAGTATTTATTGGTTTCTACATTCCAGACGAAGCACTGCCCAAGGAGAGAGAGAGAAACACAGTTAGGGTCCCTGCCTTCACGAAGCTTACAATCTGAAGGCAAGTTGTTCATTCTCTCATTGCAGGACAACCAGCACTCCCAAGCAGCGCATGGAAACTTGTAGATCTGGTGGGGAGGGGTCACCCTGGGCCGTGCTGTCTGGTAACGGCTTCAGCCAGGGGGCAGGATGGGGAGGACCTGGCTGAGCCCAGAGAGAGGAAAAGGGTGCTCCATGTAAAAGTACAGCACAAACTGTCACAGGGTCAGGAACACTCACAGCCTGGGCAGTGAGGCCCATTAGCAGACTCTGTTATGGATAAATGGGGATGAGGGCCAAAGGCTGGTTGGAGCCCCACTGTTGAGGCTAATGACTTTGACCTTCATCCTCTGGCAACAGAGAGACAATAAAAGGTATTTGAGATGATGAGTGGCACCATGAAAGTGGATTTTGGAAGACTAAACCTGGCAGAGTCATGTGGAACTGTGTGAAGAGGTATTTTTAGTATTGAGCAGAGCAATGAATTGAAAGGTTTTAAGGTCCTTTTAAGCTGAGAGTCTGTGATTTTAAAATGAATTACTAGAGGCCAAAAAAAAAAAAAAAAAAAAAAAGAAAAAAGAGAGAAAAGAAAATTAGGAAATGACTGCAATGATACATGGGAAGGGAAAGGAAAAAATAATAGTTTCATTTTTCTGTGACAAACTGAATACAATTCTGCATTAAATACTGAATCTCTCAAGAAAAACAAAGACTGGGAAGACAGACACCAGGTCTGCCACCCGCCCGCCCCGCCCCATCTCGCAGTCCACTTTGGTGAGGCCTCTCGTCCTTTTAGCTTACTCACTCCCCAGGACATGTGCCAAATATGTAGACTGGCCCCGATTCCACTAAAACTGGCTATTTACAGCTTAGCTTGAGCTTCACCAGCCCGCAATCTTTAGAGGATTGAGGCGCTTTGAGCAATTCTGTACAACTTTGGAATCACAGGCAACACATTCAAAGTCATAAGGGGAAGCAATTTTAACCCCTCCCTTCTCTTCAAAACAGAAAAGATTCTGAATAAAGAGGTCCCCTAAGCTGACTGATCACACCAAACTGTGGGGATTGGGTACTTAACAGACAGGAAGGTACTGTTCAACGGAGAAACCAAATTCAAAAATCAGCTGTAAGTGCTTATTCTCTATCAGGGATAATTAGTCTCATACACTTGCTCACTTGCTTTTGTTTGTCTTTCTCAACCTAATTCTAGTTTGTTGGCATAACTTTGGGGATTCCATATTGTAGAGAAAAAAAAAAAACGGACATTGAAAACAATAAGCAATAAGCAATTGTTACAGGCAAGCCTATTTATTAACTTAAAATAATTATAATTATTTCCAGAATGTCTTTACTGTTGTGCTAAAATAACTGGTTTATATTTATAACTAAAATGACCTTTCCCCCACATCACTGAAAGTTTAGTGGTGTTCCACTCCATAAATAAAGAAGGTGTGCACATTACATTACGTTATACCATCCAAAATGTAATGCCAGTGTCTTCGTGTCTGACAAGTCAAGTAGAGCAAGGATGTACCACTAATGGACTCAAGCAATATAAAACATAAAGTATTCCCATACTCAGTGATTAGACTTTTAACGCAAACTTAAAAACACTTTGGTGGGAAACTAACATTTAATGAGCCCCCACCACAACTGCTGGTGGAAGTGGGTGATGGGGAAAGAGTGGAAAGATACATAAGACACAGGCCTCATGACAGAGCCTCCTGTGTAGAAGGCACATCTTTGTGTAGTTGTACACAAATAATAATAAGGGCAAGACGTAAGTGTTATAACAGAAGTACCAGATGCCATAAAAAGATCAGATGGCATGTAAGAAAGAAGCTACTTCTACTTGGGGTAATGGGATTCACATTTATATAGCATGTGTGGGAGAGGAGGGACATTTAGCTTGAATATTTTAATTCAAACATGTTTAAAGGTACCAGACTCAGAAGTACACTTTATATTATAAACAAGTTGTGGTTTTACATCAAGTAGAAACCAAAGAGCTTAACCAAAGAGCTTAGGTATCATTGTGCCAGCCAGGTCAAAGTGCTCCTAGGACTCCAGTGGTTTCTTTAGCTCATTTATGTACAAGTGTCAAGGTTTCTTCCAGGTAAATTCAGATTAGGAACTGGGTACAAAACTGCATAGTCAGTATGCTTCAAATTTGTCAATGTATACAAAGAAAATTGAGAAGGCAATAGCCCCAAAATGTGAACCCTGGGTACCTCCAAGAGGTGGGAATATAGGCGATTTTAAAATTGTGTATGTAATTATTTATATTTCTGTTTATATCATGAATTATAGCAATGGACACGTAGTACTTTTCTTTTTTTAAGATATGGGGTCTTGCTATGTTGTCTAGGCTAGCCTCAAATCCCTGAGCTCAAGCAATTTTCTCTCCTCAGTCTCCCAATTAGTTGGAACTATAGGCACAGTTTATTATAGTAAGTTTTTCTGATTGCCAAAGTAATGCACAGACACACATACATTTTTCAAAGACAGCAATACAAAAATCACAAAGCAGAAAGCAAAATCTCAGGTACTCTAACCCCAAAGATAACCTCTGTTAACATCTGGGTGTACTTCCTTCCAGAAGTTTGCTTTATGCATACAGAAGGTATATCTATTGCTTTCATTATCAGAAAATGATATATAAATGGTAGATAATTTTTAAAAAGGAAGATTTTTTTCTGTTTCTAAATCTCTTTAAAAATAAATATCTCTGTGACAATATCAGTCATGTTTTGACTTTGTCCTTTTATTCATGAGACACAAGCACCAGGAAACACCTTAAATGACCTGGACAGACAATATGCGGATTGTAACATTGCAGGACCCAGAGCATGTTTTGAACACTTGGCCAGGAAAGGTGGCTGCTACGGTGGCCAATTAAGAGGCACTTTTATGAAGAAAAAAAAAAATACTTTCTGTAAGAAAACTTTCTGGTGACTGAGCCACTGGATGCCTTTGCTCTACTCTGTAGGTGGCACCTGTGGCTACTTTGCTGTTGAGTTAAATGACAAGTCCCATCTCCTGGGGGCACATATTGCCACTGGAGAGGCGGCTATCAACCTAAACTGCCGGGGCCACCTGATATCTAATGGAGTGTGTAGGTGTCTTCCCGACCTTTCTTACACTTTTTTCAGTAAAACATTCTATTAATATTAAAATATAAAGGCGGGGCAGTACGAGAGCGAAGAGACGCACTGAAAACGCCACGCGGACGCGGGGGCCTGAGCAGCTGAGGCCGCTGGGTGAGGAGGGACAGAGCAGCATCCCGCCAGGCCAGCCACTCCCCGTTCCTGGACAGCCACCAGGGCAACCTGCCAGTAGGACGAGGGGACGGTCCTCACCTGCTGCCAAGTCAAACACGAGGCACTCCAGGCAGAGCGGGGGACTGGGCTTCCCGACCGGTGAACTAAAACCTCCCGGTGAAGGTCACAGTCTTCAAAAGTCAAACAAAGCAGAGGCAGCGCCGAGTCAGCAGTGAGAGGACGGAGTGTGGAAACCTGTCCCTGGGTTGAGGAAGTGGCCTGCGTGTGAGAGAGGAGGAGGCCAGGAGAAGGGGCCGCTCCCAGAACGAGCCGTCGTCCGGCTTGTGAATCTACACTCACGGGGACACAGGACGGAGTTCAAGGCAGATGGCAGCCGTCTGGGGCGGTAACGGTGCACTCCGCTTTTGTTTGAAACCAACTAGGTGCCCGGGGAATGAACCGAAAGGGCAATAATTACATGACTAGACCATGTCTTCCCCGGCCCCGGTGCCACCTCACTGGCCATCGAATCTGTGAAGCCGCTGTCTCCTCATCTCTTCTTCTGGAGAGAGACGAAACCCGTAAGGCGGTGGGCTGTTTCTGGTATTTCCTGCAGGGAAGAACAAAAGGACAAATCAAACACTGTCCGTCCATCCTTCTGACATGTACAAGGCACTTTCTCTGAGGGTTCCAAGGGAATGAAACCGTGGCTTTGATGTCATCTTTATTTTAACACAAAACAGAAATACAACAAACATTTCAACTGCAGCTGTCAATACTAAATTTCAACATCAAGTACATACTTTAAGTGGTTCAGTCCATGAACCTAATTTGCCTTATTTTGAAGCTTCTTGACAATCCTCCCACTTTCATTTTTTCTTTCTACCATGTTCCATAGTTTGCATCATTTAAACTTACATAATGTCTCAAGGGCTTACTGTTTTGTTTTGGTTTTGTGCCCAGATATAACTTGTCACCACCTCTACTAACTTCCCCACCAACTGTGCTGGTTGGCTTCTCCCGACCAGCCCTTGGGTCCCCCCTTTCCTTCCTCCGACCTGTCGCCTCCTGCCCTGCTCCAGACGGCCAGAACTGCGCCCGACGGGGACACACAGGCACCCGGGGGCAGACGGACCCTAGAGCTGGAGTGGAGCTGTCACACTGATCAATATCTGGAAGGCAGACAAAAACACAGGCCTAATATTTAAAGGTCATATGAAGGACTGTATAAATAGCTACTGAAAAGGGTTTCTCGGGGCTGCAAACAGATCAAAAATATAGTTTGTGATGATACAAGCATTTCAACTACTACATAAAAACATTCTCCCAGGCATTGTGGGGAGTAATAAAGGAAGAAAAATATATAGTCCTTGATCTCAAGGAACCAGCCACCGAAATCTAATGAAAGAATTTCAATATTCCGCACCAGAAGCATCACTGGTTTGATATGGGTAAGTAGCACGTTCACTTTTAAGCACGTGGACCAAGAAGTCTGTATCTTCTCACTTCCATGGCACTGCCAACCCTGTTAATTTGCCCTTAAAGGCCCTGCCCCATCACCTGCATCAACAAAAGTCTTACTCTTCTAATGCCTGGCCACCCCCAATAAAAGGACGGCCTCCCAATTCAATTTCTTTAGCTTTTAGCACCGTCTGGTTGGTTGTCCTCTTTCAGTAGTCACCACATCCTGCCAGAGAGCGTAGCCATCTGGGCACACCTCTTCTTCTCTCTCCTACTGGGAACAAAAGCTCTGAAGTGGCAGGGGACATCTCTGACACTTCTCCCTGCTCCCAGTGCCTGACACAGGCCTGAGCACACAGTAACTGCTCAATGAACGCACGGACCTAACTCAACCGCATCGCTCGTGACTTCCAAAGGGATACGTTACAGCCAGACGACGGCACCCAACACTGGTTCTGACACGAGTGACTCAGGGGGCCAGGTGTTCAGGTGTCACTGGCCCAGCTGGGAAGGGTTGGAGGGTGCAAGGCGGGTTCAAGCCAGGAAGGAAAGCAAGGGAGCAGCGGATGCCTCTTGCTCATTCTCTAAGAGCGGTACCATTTCAAAGATGCTTTCATTTATGTGTCTACTGACATGATGGGTGTTCGGACTACAATAAAAAGACGCTGGAGAAAGCAGTGGGAAACTAAGAGTCAGTCTATTCAGTCTGCTACTGGAATTTCAGTTGTCAGACAAAGAGAAATGTTAAAAGGTAGTCAAAAGGCAACCCCTCTTTATGTTTTTGCTTCCCTGCTGTGATGGGAACTCCAATGTTTACTCATAACTGGTGCTTCAAAAATGAACCGGACAGGCCTACCCACCCCCCACCCCCAATTCTGCCGGGTAAACCTCTACTTCAAGGCCTTCTGATATAGAGAAACAGAAGTCCACTTATTAACTTTCATTAAAGAGGATATTCAAACATATTATAGGCTTATAAGACTTTCACCATAAAAATTTTATGAATACTGTAAGATTTAAAGTTTCACTGGATACGGTTTTTGCGACATGTATTTATTTGTAAAGGAATTTTTCTTTGTTCAGAATGGTAAATGCTTTAAAATGACAAATTCATGAATCAAAGCACCACCCGTTTATTGCTTAAAATTGTTTCGTATGATGAGATCCAAATCCTACTTTGCCTTTAACAAGTTGCTTTTAAAAAGAAGATTCTTAAAAAAAAAAAAAAAAAGAAGATTCTTAATTGCACTTGTGAGCGCAGGCCAGGAGGCCAGGAGCTGACAGCCACTGCAGATGGGCAGGGACCCGTGGGGACTGGCCGTGGGCAGGGTCAAGAGCCAGCTCGACGTGGCTCCTTGGCGCCGGGCCACAGGGCGCAAACCCAAGGAGGCTGAAGGAGTGCACAGACTCCCGAAGGGATTCGCAGTGTCCTCTGCTGTTTTCTTTAGCTTTCCTGTAAAAGGAAAGGCCTGGAGGCTTAATGTTTCCAGGAAGGGCACGCCTGCAGGATCAGAAGCAGCAGACGGTGAGGGTTCCCGAGGTCTGGCTCTCGGTGTGAACGGCCAGCAGCAAGCGCACTTTCTGGACCCATCTGCAGGGCACTCGCGGAGAACCAGGGCCGAGCCAACAGAAGAAATGCCACATGTTGAAGCAGAAAAGTCACATTGAGAAAGGAACAATAATTACTCTTTCACGTACAGAGCCCTTTCAAGGTGTCCTATTTAAATCACTTAGCTTTTACTCCCAATCTAATCAAATCAGTTTCACAGATGAGGAAACTGAGGCCCAGGGAGTGTTAGGAACACATAGAAGGTTACTAAGCTAATGTGAAGGGGGTTGAAACTTGAACCTACAGCTTGTCTCTTCCCACTGCCCTACACTGCCCTCCCTTGTCACACGCCGAATGTGTTAAGCCTGACTCCTCTCACCCTACCTTCCCACCAAAACCCAAGGTGTCCCTTTTCTTTCTGGACACATGGCGAGCTCACTGCTATGTGAAAACTGAAAAACAGTAAGGCCCAGTCTGAGGCCTCAACTCAGCAGGACTCTCCTGTTATCCAAGATGTGACTCTGAAGCTCTGACATGGGTCTCCTTAAATTCCACTGGCTACCAGAGTTGTTCGGCTTTCTAGAAACGCCAAGAGGGCCTAGTGTATAACAATACAACAACCATAGCCACAGTAATTCCCACTGTGATCATGCCTGATCTTATAGGTGTTTTAAAACCTCCAAACTCAGTAATTCTAACATCAAAGCCACCCTACTGTCTGAAGAACGGCTAACTTGCTTCATTTCATTTTTGGGGAAAGTTACATATACATTTATCTTGATATTTCAAAGAGAATCACAGATGTGATGTCAGGTGGCTGCTCTCTCGTGCTGTCTGCTGTGTATATTTTGGGTCAGTGCCACACAGGGCAGGGGGCCTCCTGGCTGCCCACTCAGTCTCAGCTAAACTCTGCCTTCCAATTCCGGGCCTTTGTTTACATTTATTTGTTAACCTATTTCTGTATTTCCCACTTGCATCACGTGGTCTACTCTGTAATCTCCTGAATCCCCTGCAGGCATTTCTCACGGGGTCTCATCCTCACGTGTCCCGTATGTACTCACATTTGTTTAGCACACAGACGAGGATCTGAACAAGCCTGGCGGGGTGGTGGGAGATGTCCCCAGGGGTATAATGGAAAAAGTGTTGGTAGGAATCAGGAGATGGCTTCTCAGCTCTACCTGGACCAGTGGAGACATCCTAGATGAGACTGTTCATTTCAGCAGGCTCTGGCTGGTTCAGAGCCTCCCTTGTGGGGGAAAGTGCTGAACAAGGGGCTCACCAGGGTCCCTTCTGTGACTCTAGGGTTTGAGGACCTAAGAGTAAATCTCAACTCCTCCACTTTTTAGCTACACATCCTTTAGCAAGTAGGTTACCTTCCTTTGTTGTTAGTTTCTTTATCTGTAAGACTGTAAGAGTAGCTCCTTTGCTGGGCTGTTGAGGATCAGAAGAGATGATGTATATAAAATGCTTAGCTGAGTGCCATGTGTGCGGTAAATTACCGATGTGCACTGGATATTATAATACTTAATCTCTAACATCAAGAATCATGTGTTCAATGTCTACTTGTTCGTATCATTAACTCTGCATAAGAGGTACAATAAAATACACTGACGGAACCAGTGACTTCTCAAAAGACAGAGCCCAATTCTGTGTGTAGACCAGTTAGTAGTGCTTTATACAAAGTGTGCATTTGTTGGTTACTAAATATTTGCCGTCTAAGAAATAGATATAAAACAGGTAATTAGTAACCTTCATTGAACAGTACATTTTCCTAACACCAAGGAGCCTTTGGGTAACTGAAAAAGCTGGAGTGCCCAGCAAAGACCTTCTTTTATCCACTTAGTTAAATTATGCATTGAACACTTACAGGCCTGGGGTGAGACAGTACTACTCCAAAGAACTTGGTACAGAATACTATTTATGAGCCTTGCCTCTGTGTTCCTGTAAATGGACATGGTCAGCCCTCAATTTTACCCAAAGAAACAGTGAGCATGCTTCAGAGAGCCTCAGGAACACCGCCCAGCTTAATATGGTTTAGCTCTATCATAGCACCAATGGTATGATTGTAAGATTTATTGATTTGTGGTTCTTGATGGAAAATTTTTCAGTTCTCCACCCTTTGGTATAATGTAATGCAGTAACCTCTGCATTTTACATCTAAGGGGAGAGAAGCAATTTTATCAGATAAGAATTGCTAAAAAGAGCACCGTGAGTCGATGGCCATTTGCCCTTCTGTCCGAGATCCGTGTAAATAGCGATGTTTGATTTGGTAGTATGCACAGATCCTGCCCGTGATCTGATGAGCACGCTGTGCCATTCAGTGAAATTATACTAAAGTGAAGTCACGGGATAGCATAAAATTTCTCCCTTAAATTAGGGAGCTAAAGAGGCAATCATTTTTTTTCTTTTTTTTTTAACCAGGAAACCTCTACCAGGGGTCCTCAGACTACGGCTCGCCGGTCACATGCAGCCCGCCAAGGACATTTATCCCTGCAGGGTGTTTCTGCCACCACCGCTGCCTGTCCTGCTTAGCAGCGGATTCGTCCCAGACCCACAGTGCGCATGTGTGGAATTTGCGCCGCACTCTCCAACGGTCTGAG